GACAGGCATTGCAGCCAAATTAGCGTGTAACAAAGATGATGTTGAATTAGATCTAGGCATCCCCATCTCTACTGTCAAAACTATACTGGTCCAAACACTCAGGTCTGATATGAAAGAAATTATTGACTCCCAACGACCTGAAAGTTCTAGTATAAAAAACTATGATTTGTTCAGATCTGAAACTTATATCTATGGGCAGCACAAAACGTCCACCAGACTGTGCGACACAGTGGTTGCCAGGATCAGGTTGGGTTACCATTACCTGTGGCAGGTGGCTGCAGGTGACGGGTCTCCCAATCCTGAGCACTCCAGTTGCAAACTCTGTAAGCAGGAACTACGGCATGATCTCCCGCACTACATCACTGAATGCCCAGTTATTAGACCTTTCAGACCGGTTGGCATGAGGTACCTGGAGCTTTGCAATTACTTTATTCACTCTCGTATTCTTGAAGATATCCTCATATTGCACCCAAAATTTGCCAGTGTAGGCTACTAAACTCATGGCTCTGTATGACTAACCATCCTGCGAGATGGGGACTTGTATTACCACTGCTACCTTACTCACTCTTGTGTTGTTGATATCCTCAAAATGCATCCGGAGTCTGTCAGTGCAGACCGCTTATCACATGCCTCTGTATGACTAACCATCCTGTGTGATGGGGATTTTAGCATCACTTAGTTAGCTTTTTTGACACACTGTACTCCACTTCATATAGTCTAGGGCAGCTGCACTAATGCAGATGTACCTAATGTATTAATAATAACAAAAATCTTCGTGTATTCACGGACTGACTTTCAAAATGTGGGTTCAGATGACATTTTCATTCTGGCCACAGTTTCTTGGTTACAGTGTTAGAAGGGCATGTGTGGGCAGAGAGGGGGGAGAAGGGCATGTGTGGGTAGAGAGGGAAGAGAAGGGCATGTGTGGGCAGAGAGGGAAGAGAAGGGCATGTGTGGGCAGGGAGGGGGGAGAAGGGCACGTGTGGGCAGAGAGGGAGAAGGGCACGTGGGCACATAGACAAGTAATATACCAGAAGACATGGGAAGGGTTTGTAGGGAAATATGTGAGAGAAATGGGGGGGGGGGTATAAAAACGAATAGGGAGGATGTGTCTTGGGGGGGGAGGCCTGGTCACCAGATCGACCCCGGGCACCGCTGGGTACCCCATCTAGTGAATAATATTGGCAATACAAATGCCTAATGGAGCTCTAACTTCACGTGTCATTTGCATATTTAAAGTCACAAACTGCGTGTGTGTGTGTGGCCTCAATGCTCTGCTGTCATTGTTGCCTGTGTCTAATTGTGGCATGTTGACTGATCGCTCCCCACAGACACAAGCAGCAGCTCCACAGGAAGGTACTGCAGCGCTATGCAACAGGAAGGTACTGCAGCGCTATGCAACAGGAAGGTACTGCAGCACCATGCAACAGGAAGGTACTGCAGCGCCATGCAACAGGAAGGTACTGCAGCGCTATGCAACAGGAAGGTACTGCAGCGCTATGCAACAGGAAGGTACTGCAGCGCCATGTAACAGGAAGGTACTGCAGCGCTATGCAACAGGAAGGTACTGCAGCGCCATGCAACAGGAAGGTACTGCAGCGCTATGCAACAGGAAGGTACTGCAGCGCCATGCAACAGGAAGGTACTGCAGCGCTATGCAACAGGAAGGTACTGCAGCAGCTCCACAGGAAGGTCCTGCAGCACCATGCAACAGGAAGGTACTGCAGCGCTATGCAACAGGAAGGTACTGCAGCACCATGCAACAGGAAGGTACTGCAGCGCTATGCAACAGGAAGGTACTGCAGCGCTATGCAACAGGAAGGTACTGCAGCACCATGCAACAGGAAGGTACTGCAGCGCTATGCAACAGGAAGGTACTGCAGCAGCTCCACAGGAAGGTACTGCAGCACCATGCAACAGGAAGGTACTGCAGCACTATGCAACAGGAAGGTACTGCAGCACCATGCAACAGGAAGGTACTGCAGCAGCTCCACAGGAAGGTACTGCAGCACCATGCAACAGGAAGGTACTGCAGCACCATGCAACAGGAAGGTACTGCAGCGCTATGCAACAGGAAGGTACTGCAGCGCTATGCAACAGGAAGGTACTGCAGCGCTATGCAACAGGAAGGTACTGCAGCGCTATGCAACAGGAAGGTACTGCAGCGCCATGCAACAGGAAGGTACTGCAGCGCCATGCAACAGGAGGGTACTGCAGCGCTATGCAACAGGAAGGTACTGCAGCGCTATGCAACAGGAAGGTACTGCAGCGCTATGCAACAGGAGGGTACTGCAGCGCTATGCAACAGGAAGGTACTGCAGCGCTATGCAACAGGAAGGTACTGCAGCGCTATGCAACAGGAAGGTACTGCAGCGCTATGCAACAGGAAGGTACTGCAGCGCTATGCAACAGGAAGGTACTGCAGCGCTATGCAACAGGAAGGTACTGCAGCGCTATGCAACAGGAAGGTACTGCAGCGCTATGCAACAGGAAGGTACTGCAGCGCTATGCAACCTCTCATTGTATGGTAATTTAGAAGTCAACAACAAGTCAAATAGAGTCTGGGTGAGCAACTTTCAATATTTATGATGTATTGCATCCCCCGCGTTCAAGGCTGCCAGCTCCATGAGTATACTGCTAAGTATATGTATACTAAGTATACATATATGAAAATATATGATAATTTATTGGTTGAACAGGTTCGTCCAGTCACCAATCATCAGAGTCTGATCACTTTGATATTGCTCTCACCAAATATAGACACAAGTGCCTGGGACAAGCACAGAACCAAACAAGGAACATCAACAAACACACACAATTTACTCATCACCTCCAGTACTGTTGTGCAGGTGGTGCGGGAGAGCCACTCAGCCAGCTGGCAGGAAGGTTCAGTATAGCTGGCGGCAGCTGGTGGAGGCTTACGTCAAAGTGACGTATAAGGGTTCACTCCAGGTTATTGGCTAACGTCAACTGACGTTTGTCACTACCCTGTTATGCCCGGGGCTCTCGACACCCTTTCTCTCTCGTCTCTCATGTTCCCTATACCCCTCCCCCCCTCTCCAACTTTCTCCCCCAAGATCCCCTTCTGAAAAGGTCTATGGGGTAGACAACCAATATTTTATATTTGATGAAAATCGTACAGGTGGGTTGGTTTAGATGCCAATATATCTTAAAGTGTGGCACTGGAGCCGATCCTAATTGGTCTATGACACTCCCCGACCCCACATGCTTCATGTGTCAAAGTTTGATGAGACTAGCCTCAAGCATCTGGCCTCGAACCTAGGGCAGACAGACATGTAAACATTCTCTTTCAGATTAGAATTAGGTTCTGTTTGTAAATCAATTTACTTTCGACATTTCTCTGGCTTTTATAACCAAATATAACGGTGGAGCGTGTTATTATACACAAGTCGTTAAAGAGAAATAACACTGTAGCATGTAGGCTCACTGAATATAACATTTATGCAATACAATTACGTTTGAGACCATTTATAATGATTTTTTGAGTCTTACCCACATTTATTAACACTCTCCCTTGATTCCTATGCGAGAAAACGGGCAATTAAGGGGTAACTTCTATCCAAATGTCAGAACCTGATATGCCAAAACCAGATTTTAATATGAAATTCTGTATATACTACGATATATGGATTTTGTTTACAATATTTTGACTATTTAAAATGGAACTCACACTTATTTGTCAAACTCTTATAAGCAAGTATTTAGTGATTGATGTCAGAGCCAGTCCTGGGACCAGATTCACAAAGCACTTACGCAAACACTTACGAACGTGTACATCTTTCCTCAATCTTTGGCGGCTTTGGTTACATTTATTAAACAGTTTACAAGCATGAAAACTTGCCAATCAACTGTTGTTATTGTTATAAACAGCCTCCTGATGCTTCGGAGCTCATTAACTGTTTAATAATTGTAAACAAAGCCGCCAGAGATTGAGAAATGATGTACACGTTCGTAAGTGCTTGCGTAACTGCTTCGTGAATCTGGCCCCTGGTTAATGACATTCCAGTCCCAGTTAGTGACAGTCCATCAAGAGATTATCTTGAGCATCTCTTGAAAGCATCACTAACAACCTTACAGGTGTCTGTTAAGAATTATGTTGAAAAGGCACTCGTTGACTGCTGCCGCTGGGCCTCAACATGGCAGCCCTTGAATGGTGGAGGACTAGGACTGTGCCTCTGACGTCATGGGCCTAGGACTGGGCCTCACCTGAGCCCCGAGAACGCTCGTCATTGTTGCATAAAACGAGCCAGGGTTAAGGCCCTCGGGTGGTGTGTGTGTGTGTGTGTGTGTGTGTGTGTGTGTGTGTGTGTGCGTGCGTGTGTGTGTGTGTGTGTGTGTGTGTGTGTGTGTGTGTGTGTGTGTGGTCCAATAAACAAAGCAGTATCTTGCTCGTCTCGAAAGCTCAAGGACTCGCCCAATAAACTCACCCAAGCAACTAGTTTACTTTTGTGTATTGGGATGTATTCACCTGAGTATACTGCCCTAACTGTGCTTGCGGGGGTTGAGATTCGTCTCTTTGTTCTCGCCTCTTGACTGCCAATCATCTCCTGCACAGGTTTTCGAGTCTATTGGGCTCTATCAAGAAGAATACAATCGCTAGCGCACATAAAGCTTGGCTTCTACAATAATTTATCATAGACATACTAATAATAAGGCGAGAACGTGTCTTGTTCCCCCCGTTAACAATGTCAGTAGCATCATATATATTAAAGTCGATGTTCTTTTGTTAATTGCTTGAACAATGGCCTCCAGTGTGTTAGTGTCCAGCACCTTGGTCCTCACCACCACCACATCACTGTGGTAGCGGTAACAGAAGCAGCACAGTGCCTTCACCAACAACCTGCTTGCCAGGTGCCAGTTGAGGGGCGGGGAGGGGCGTGCAGGGGACAATTAGGTCTTCCTGTTGTTGTTCTTCGCGAAGGTCCACCTCAGTAATGGTGACAAATGACTGACAATGAGAGGCAAGTGGAAGGTCTTCTTCAGCAGCTGGTACGAGCAGTTCCTCCGCCCTCTATGGTGGCACGGCGCCCAGGTGGCGTACCCTCTATGGTGGCACGGCGCCCAGGTGGCGTACCCTCTATGGTGGCACGGCGCCCAGGTGGCGTACCCTCTATGGTGGCACGGCGCCCAGGTGGCGTACCCTCTATGGTGGCACGGCGCCCAGGTGGCGTACCCTCTATGGTGGCACGGCGCCCAGGTGGCGTACCCTCTATGGTGGCACGGCGCCCAGGTGGCGTACCCTCTATGGTGGCACGGCGCCCAGGTGGCGTACCCTCTATGGTGGCACGGCGCCCAGGTGGCGTACCCTCTATGGTGGCACGGCGCCCAGGTGGCGTACCCTCTATGGTGGCACGGCGCCCAGGTGGCGTACCCTCTATGGTGGCACGGCGCCCAGGTGGCGTACCCTCTATGGTGGCACGGCGCCCAGGTGGCGTACCCTCTATGGTGGCACGGCGCCCAGGTGGCGTACCCTCTATGGTGGCACGGCGCCCAGGTGGCGTACCCTCTATGGTGGCACGGCGCCCAGGTGGCGTACCCTCTATGGTGGCACGGCGCCCAGGTGGCGTACCCTCTATGGTGGCACGGCGCCCAGGTGGCGTACCCTCTATGGTGGCACGGCGCCCAGGTGGCGTACCCTCTATGGTGGCACGGCGCCCAGGTGGCGTACCCTCTATGGTGGCACGGCGCCCAGGTGGCGTACCCTCTATGGTGGTACGGCTCCCAGGTGTCGTACCCTCTATGGTGGCACGGCGCCCAGGTGTCGTACCCTCTATGGTGGCACGGCGCCCAGGTGGCGTACCTTCTATGGTGGCACGGCGCCCAGGTGGCGTACCCTCTATGGTGGCACGGCGCCCAGGTGGCGTACCCTCTATGGTGGCATGGTGCCCAGGTGGCGTACCCTCTATGGTGGCACGGCGTCTAGGTGGCGTACCCTCTATGGTGGCACGGCGCCCAGGTGGCATACCCTCTATGGTGGCACGGCGCCCAGGTGGCGTACCCTCTATGGTGGCACGGCGCCCAGGTGGCGTACCCTCTATGGTGGCACGGCGCCCAGGTGGCGTACCTTCTATGGTGGCACGGCGCCCAGGTGGCGTACCCTCTATGGTGGCACGGCGCCCAGGTGGCGTACCCTCTATGGTGGTACGGCGCCCAGGTGGAGTACCTTCTATGGTGGTACGGCTCCCAGGTGTCGTACCCTCTATGGTGGCACGGCGCCCAGGTGGCGTACCTTCTATGGTGGCACGGCGCCCAGGTGGCGTACCCTCTATGGTGGCACGGCGCCCAGGTGGCGTACCCTCTATGGTGGCACGGCGCCCAGGTGGCGTACCCTCTATGGTGGCATGGCGCCCAGGTGGCGTACCCTCTATGGTGGCACGGCGTCCAGGTGGCGAACCCTCTATGGTGGCACGGCGTCTAGGTGGCGTACCCTCTATGGTGGCACGGCGCCCAGGTGGCATACCCTCTATGGTGGCACGGCGCCCAGGTGGCGTACCCTCTATGGTGGCACGGCGCCCAGGTGGCGTACCTTCTATGGTGGCACGGCGCCCAGGTGGCGTACCCTCTATGGTGGCACGGCGCCCAGGTGGCGTACCTTCTATGGTGGCACGGCGCCCAGGTGGCGTACCCTCTATGGTGGCACGGCGTCCAGGTGGCGTACCCTCTATGGTGGCACGGCGCCCAGGTGGCGTACCCTCTATGGTGGCACGGCGCCCAGGTGGCGTACCCTCTATGGTGGCACGGCGCCCAGGTGGCGTACCTTCTATGGTGGCACGGCGTCCAGGTGGCGTACCCTCTATGGTGGCACGGCGCCCAGGTGGCGTACCCTCTATGGTGGCACGGCGCCCAGGTGGCGTACCCTCTATGGTGGCACGGCGCCCAGGTGGCGTACCCTCTATGGTGGCACGGCGCCCAGGTGGCGTACCCCCAGTGGTAAATTCTACTAAAAAAAACACACCCGTGATTTAATTTCAGACCATGCAAATCGCACGGGTGGGGGGGGAGCGTAACAGGCTAATATTTCATAAAGCATATAACTCCATCTGACGATGACCAGCCTATGTCCGTCCCATACCCCAGACCATTCTCCCTGCAAAGTTGAGTGAGGCTAGCCTCAAGCGCCTGGCCCCCAACCTCTGACATTCTCAAAGTGCTGTTTTATATTGGAATTAAAGGTATAATGCTTTAATTACCCTTTGTATTGTCTAGATTACGTGTGACGTCATAGAGTATGAAGGAGGCAGTAGCGACACGACCAGGCGGCGGCAGACAGTTGCACTAATGGTGTAGGAGGAGGATATGGCTACAAGGGCGCGCGTGGGGGGACGTGGGCGGTGGAGGATGAGGTTATGTACACCGTTAGTCAAGTGTCCCAAGTTGACCTACTGTAGGAGGCTCCTGAGCGGACCTCACGTCACCCACCCCGCCACCCACGCCATCTTCAGGTTATCTTCAAGTTATCTTCAGGTTATCTTCAGGTTATCTTCAGGTTATTGAGCAAATCTTGAGCATATCTTTAGGTTATCTTGAGAAGTTTTCGGGGCTTAGCGTCGCCGCGGCCCGGTCCTCAACTTGGCCTCCTTTTTGTTACACCCCCCCCCCCAGGAAGCAGCCCGTAGCAGCTGTCTAACTCCCAGGTACCTATTTACTGCTAGGTGAACAGGAGCATCAGGGTGAAAGAAACTCGCCATGCTCTTGGTCGTATCATAGCCATATTATTATATGTAACTGTCCTACCACAAATGTGAATGGCTTAGCTTAAGTAAGTTTATTGAGAAAAGGGAGTTCATCTCACAAGGAAAGAGTAGCTTAGAGCATGTTTACCCTCAGACTTAGCTTGATAATTATATATATATATATATATATATATATATATATAATATTTTTGTAGCAAGGTGGACTAATGGACGAGGTGGACTCACTACTAATATATATATATATATATATATATATATATATATATATATATATATATATATATATATATATTAGTAGTGAGGTGCGGACGCGGTTGAGAACTTGTGTACACTCATTAGTGGCCAGCAGCCGCAGTGTGAGACAGGAACTGGTAATTAAACAGGGGGCAGCTACCCGTGTCAACCCCCTATCCAGGTTCCCCTATTTAATGACACACCGATTTCACCTATTATTTCGTGTACTAAAATGCTGGGGAAAGTTTCATATGGATTTATAATTACCTTCCTCTGGGCCGGAGACTGATAGAATGGGGAATACTGTCAATACTATTTTTTTATCTTTATTGATAATTCTTGAACTTGCATTCTTATATTTATATTTAACACCAAACAGCATCCAGAGATACAACTCTGAACTACATAAGCACACGCAGCAAGAGTGGTACAAACTGGAGAATTCAGAACAAAAAAAATCCTATTACAACAGGTACAGTACATAAAATAAATACAGCTACACACACAAGCAAAGAACAACAAATACAACGTAATGACACCACAAGAAAAACACAAACACACAGAAACACCTTGCAAAAACACAATACAAAGAAAACAAGTACCAATAACACCAGAAGCAAATACAACCAAAAACAGAATCTAAGAAAGCACAACACGCAGACACAACTAGGAACACACAAGTAGCATCAAGTGGGGGAAAAACCCACAAAACCCACAAAACACAGGACAACACACACACCACACATGACATATCACTGAAAAACAAACAGGGACGGACCCATTCCCATTCAGGTCGAAAGGCAAAGTGTCCCCCCCCCCGCAGGGGGGCCAGGTACCCTACCACACCCCCAGACCCCCACCGCAGGGGCCAACACCCCCTACTACTCCCCCTACCACACCCCCCTGACCTCACCGCAGGGGACCAAGTACCAACCACAATCTACAATGTAAAACCAACATCAGCCGTCCGCCGTTGTATCCTTCCCCGTCCAAATTTATCCTTCCCTGTCCAAATAATTAAGTCAGGGTAAATGTGCCTAGCCTAGGATAAATTAGAATTGTTTTAGCTGTAGCTGGGGTCTATATCCTAGGCATTTTTTCGTCTTTCGTACCCTACCTTAATTTGCTCTAACCTACTCTATTTTACCCTAACTTAACAAATTGAGTTTTTACTTAAAGCATTACAAACTATATGCAAGTGGTAAGTGAACTTATGAGATAAGTGGTACATGAACCTTAATTTAGAAAATTTATATGGCTGTCTTGGAGAAAATGTTTTGGGTTGGATGGGATAACTCCATATATTATTATATATTCGACCTGTCGCAATGTCGACATATTCGACCTGTCGCAAGGTCGACATATTCGACCTGTCGCAACGTCGACATATTCGACCTGTCTCAACGTCGACAGGTCACCACACAAGCATCACACAGTCTCCTAAGCTCACAGCGGCGGCTAAGGAGCATCCTAAGAACAAGGAAATAGTGCTCAGACGCGGAGATTCTTCAAAGAGGATAAATATATTGAGATAATAAGCCTGGTGCTCTGTGATCCAGCAAAACAACCAAGGAACGTGACACACCTTGGAGAGTACTGAAAGTACACACACGGAGAGGAGAGTACACATCTGGATGTGTGTATATATGGGACTGTCAACACACACACACACACCTGGAAACTGGCTTGGACCAGTCATGGGGTAGATATCTACGGTCTTGGAAAGACTGGCTAAGTGACTTCTGTTTACTCCATGGATGCCGCCCGTCACACCCACACATACCACCCGTCACATCACCTGTCACATCACCTGTCACACACACACCACCGTCACCCCCCACCCCCCCACACACACACCCACCACCGTCACCCCCACACACCACACGTCACACATCCTTCACCAGTATTACCAAACTATTAACCAACATATAATTAAAAGTGTTGCGGGGAATAACTTTGGTCCATACCATACACGCATAAAATCTGTATACATGTCTGTTGTATTAAATACAGGGGATTTAAAACTAATACATCGCGTAATACAGACAACATAAAAATAATTATATCCATTAAATTAATAGCGATATACACTAAAACTTTAATCTGACTCTAACGAGTCCATATATAAAATGTAACAATATTTTATCAGTCAAAATTTATACAGCTACAAATGGCGAATTTATCATCATTTGGGTTTATTAAGATAAACACAGTAAGGAAATTTCACATTTTGTGAAACAATGTTCAACGCAAAGTGGCAGTAAACTATTTTCTACTTGTGTAGCACAAACTAACCACGCTAGGCCTAATGCACGATATCTGAGGCCTAATGCACGATATCTGAGGCCTAATATAGCACATATGTGTGCTATATTAGGCCTAGGAATATTTAAGTTTGTCTTTTAGCTTCATTTTTTTCCGACTAATACAGTGAACCTTATAAAGGTCTACTATCTAATTGCTTAGAACGTCAATTTTTGTACTATGGTGCACATAGTTATAAAAACGACTATCAAAACAGGAGAATGGGTTGTATAATACCAAACGGCTTACTCCCACATATACAACGACAAAGGTCATACTCCCACATGTAATGTGTATCCGAGGTTGGAAGCCAGATACTTCTAACTTCGCCCATTTTTTCTATAAAGTGTTGTGTTGTTAGTTTATTATATATATATATATATATATATATATATATATATATATATATATATATATATATATATATATATCCATCCAGAGAGAGAGAGAGAGAGAGAGAGGAGAGAATCCCCTCCCCCCAGCACAACACACCATCACTGTGGGTGTCAACAACCACCGTCCTCAACACTTGGCATATTAAGAGTCTTCATAATAAATATATTATTGTGTCTACAAATACTCCATTGTGTCGTCTTTAATGTACTTATGATATATAAATAGAAAACCACAACAATGCCGCTGCCACCACTGAAACACAAGCTGCCAGAGAGTACTTTTAGCTCGACCAGCATGTGGCAGTGTAGAGCTGACAGTGTACAGTGTACAGCACTGTACAGCTCAATCTTTGGGGTTTTCTACCACCAGGACAAAAATAACTACATAGTCTGATCACCTGACGCCGAGCGAGGGAGAAATCCTCCGTCAACTATTCCAGCATAACTGCCAGAAACAAATATTTAAAGAAATCTTTAAAATATAACGAACTCCCTACGGTACCAGTACTGTGACGAGGCACGGTACTGGTTCCAGCACACACTCACCGTAGGCTGCAATGTCTTAGCCAATCCATTTGTCCTTATATTTCCCAAATAATTAAGATCGTGCAGACTAGCGGACTCATTTACGAATCAGAGGGACAGCATGGTAGCAATGAGCCTTGTTAGACGCCACTAATCACCCAATTTCCCCTCCTTCACTTTGTGTACTTACCTAGATATACCTGCAGGGTTGAGCACTAGCTCTCCAGCCCCACCTTTTGCAACCACCGTGATACAATGTGACTTATTCCTCTTGTTCTCGTTATACTTTCATTTGATTTTTGTTTAATTAAGTACTGCTAAACAGTCTCCTCTTGTTGGTCACTCGAGCTGTACATGTACTAATCTTGTAGTGAAGAAGTGTTTCCTAACATCTCTGTGGTTCATTTGTCTCCAGCTTCCACCAGGGAGGGGCTTCTGGGTTCGCAGTCCCAAGGGCCCAGGTTCGCAGTCCCAAGGGCCCAGATTCGATTCCCGGTCGAGGCAGAAACAATTGCGCCTGTCTTGCGATTTGACCTGATGCGCCTGTTCACCTAGCAGAATAGGTACCTGGGAGTTAGAGAGCTAACTCCTCCCAAGCACGAGGTGTATGTGGGTGTCAGGAGAAGGGGAGCAGTGTCTCCAGCTCCCGGGCTCCCTCCTCCAGCCGTCGTCAACCAGAGACCAATTCATCTATTGTAACTGTTTGCTCTCATTCATATATTAATATTATTATATGTTCGAGTTCTGTGCATAGTTAGGCGTAGGTTAGGTGTTTAGGTTCTGTTGGCGATTATTTGACGTGCGTGGGTGAAGCATTTACAGCGGTGTGAATCGAACAAAGTTGTTCAATGAAGTATTGTTCGAGAACTGTTCGAACGTCATCAGTCGAGAGTTGTGTGTAAACAGTTTTCCATTCAAAATCAGGTTTGGCAACTGGATTAACGACCATTTAGTCTTTGTTGTAAAGACCGGACTGGTGGCGGCGTCACCTGTGGTGGGCTCGCTCGTAACACACCTGTGGTGGTAGGCCAGGGCCTCGCTCGTAACACACCTGTGGTGGGCCAGAGCCTCGCTCGTAACACACCTGTGGTGGGCCAGAGCCTCGCTCGTAACACACCTGTGGTGGGCCAGAGCCTCGCTCGTAACACACCTGTGGTGGGCCAGGGCCTCGCTCGTAACACACCTGTGGTGGGCCAGGGCCTCGCTCGTAACCCACCAGGAACGAGGCCATGGAAGCACCAACAGCCGCGGGCCACCTGTTGACAAACTCACCAACTCATCTTCGCCATCATCTGGTGGGCCGTAAACGCTACAAAAGCGAGTGTCAAGAGGCGGGGGACGGAGGAGGGGCGCCGTAACGAGGGGGAATGACCGCTCAAGTAGTCGAGGTGTTAGTGGGTTAAGGCACGGTGACGTCACGTGTCATGAAGGAGGGCCATGTGTCGCTGTCGTGGTGGAGGTGACGATTGTGCTCGTGTTAGCCGGCCCACGAGTACTGGGCGACCTTCTTCAGGTTATCTTGAAATGGTTTCGGGGCTCAGCGTCCCCGCGGCCCAATTCTCGACCAGGCCTCCTTTTTGTTACACACCCCCAGGAAGCAGCCCGTAGCAGCTGTCTAACTCCTAGGTACCAATTTACTGCTAGGTAACAGGGGCATCAGGGTGAAAGAAACTGTCCATTTGTCACCACCTACACCAGGGATCGAACCCGGAACCTCGGGACTACGAATCCGAAGCGTTATCCACTCAGCTGTGAGGCGCCCTGGAAGACGCCACAGGTGGAGACTGGACACGTGCACAGTAGTCAACATGTACGGCACGGACATGCCGTGGCACGGTCGCTCCTCTCCTGGAGGGGGCGGGGGGAGGGGGCAGGATACACCTGCAGGCGCCGGGGAACACGTCCGTGCGTACTCCAGCACTGCTTTTTGAAGTTACAGCCCCGCTCCTGTGCCAGGTAAGTCCACTACGGGCTCACCATAGCCCGTGCTACTTGGAACTTTTTCTTCCCAGTAGCTGAATCTTTAACAACAACAACATGCCTCTGCATAACAAGGCGAGAAAAGTAGGTAAACCTGTTAACAGAACCCCAGGATGGGCTGCAGACGGAGGTTCACAAGAGGTGAGAAGGTTAGGTTAATGGTTAGTGAGACAACGAAGTGCTTATGTTAAGTGCTTACCCAGTGGGTATGTGGGCCTGCGGGCCGCTCC